CAACTGAAAATATTAGGTGTATCCCGCACGCTCATATGACCTTATGCAGTTGCGAGCGCCGTAAAACACTTTACAAAAACAAACATAATACAAAAGCAATCGACAGAAACCCATCAACTCACATGATTGCCTGACAAGTGTGTATGCTTCCACTTTTCTCGCAGTCCTCTGCATCCTTGATCCATTGGTCGCGGTTGATCTCAACCATGTTTGCTCGCAGAGAATTTACCGCTGAAATGCAGAGAAAAAATTTCAGTCAAGATGGAAAATAATCCATGAAACACAGCTGTGACGTGACAGACAGAACCAGCACCTCAATGGTCCTATAGTGTAAGGAAAAGATGGAATGAGAGAGTCAAGGGAACCCTGAAAAATTAAAACTTTTTAATTGAAGAAGCTGCAGAGTTAGCCTACAATAGAAAACTGCAACTCGCTTAATGGCAAACAGAGGATAGAAAAATAAAAGTAAAGTAAGAAAAGTGCTGAGAAGAGATGAAGACAAAAGGAACTCTTGAGATCCCATTGTCTCCTTCAACTTGGCAGATAGGATCCCAGTAGCGAGCCTACAAAATGATCTAATTTGTGCCGATCAAGACATTAAAACACTTTCAATCACAAATATACTACTGGGATTCTCTCAATAATCTTCTCTACCACGAGTAAGTTCCACTAGCCTCCTCCAACTTGGCAGCAGTAATCCATACCAGCTGGTCTCCAAAATGTTCTTATTTGTGCTCATAAAAATGTTAAACACTTACAATTGCAACTATACATGACAAATCGCAGCACACCTCTCACAATAATCTTCTCCACCATAGTGGATTTCCCATTCGCCTCCTCCAACTTGGTAGGCAGGGACCTTGTAGCCAACCTCTTAAATGTTCCCTAAAATGCCGAAAAATGTGTAAAGCACTGACAGTTACAACTAAACATCACAAAACCCCAACGAACCTCTCTCAATAATCTTCTCCACCATGTGTGAATTCCCGTTCGCCTCCTCCAACTTGGCAGCGGTGATCCACACTTGCCTGTCTGTAGGAATGCTCTCACGGGCCTTGTTCAGAACCTTTCTGGCGTTCTCGTAGCTCTCCAGGCGAGCCAGGGCAAGCCACAGCTGAAGACAAAAATATAACTTTACCAACACTTCACTTCTGATCTACGGCTAACATCACCCACAGCAAAGAACATGCAGTTGTCCATGGATAACTGAAACACGTCGTGGATTAACAAATGTGTACCAACACATCCATAATTTGGATAAACTGATATAGAGAAAAATTAAAGAGCTTTTAATACGGGAATGGCAAATTGTACAAGCTACAAGCGTGATTCAGAGTTTTCCACGCTCATGTCATCTATTTCTATGCCCAACTGTAGTTAATAAAAAAAATAAAGGGAAGGCTTTTCAAAAGCTATATTGTATTAAAGAGGAACAAAATAATTTCAGCAGCACCCATTGTGCAGTTTGGTAATACCAGCATCTGAGGTGTAGAGGTTAGGGGCTTCATTGTCGTGCACAGAAGACCTGAGTTCAATTCCCATGTAAAGAGAATTCTTATTAAGTATCTACATCTTTCTGTTGGGACGTAGTATCCCTCTCTGCCCAGGTTGGATCTGACAGGTATTGTCAAAGCCCACCCCCTTAAATGATCAAAATTGTGTTGATGTGGGCAAAATAAACAACCAGAATTAAGAATGGTACGTTTTAGGCTAAACGCCCATTTCAACACGACAAGATTACATAAGAGACCAAACCTCTGCTTTAACATGAATCTCCAACAGACATAAAATACAATCATAAAACTCATGAGTCCAACCATGAAGAGTTCACATTTTTCCCCTGAAAACTCCCTCTTTTGTCCCTCCTTGATTAATGAAAATAACAAAACCAGGGACAAATTTCTAGTTTAGTTTTAGTTGAGGTTTTACAGCGCTCGCAACTGCCTAAGGTCATATGAGTGCCAGAAGATTAGAGGTGTTACAAGGGAGTAACAAAAGAAGAAGGGGAGATAAGGACGATAGACGTTTGATAGGAAAGAAGAAGCAAACCACACCAGAGCACCCGCCAACCACCCACGACAAATTTCTAAAAAGAGTGAGACAAACCTCAACGCTGGTGGGACAGCACTCCACGGCTCGACTCAACATGATCCTCGCATCCTCCTCGTCCTCCAGCTCCACAGCTTGTTTCCACAGACGGACAGAGTTGGGGATGTTCTCCAGGGCTGGTCAGACAAACAATGGGAAAGGTGAACAAACAGACAACGATACGGCAAAAAAAGGAAAACGATGTTCTCCGGGGATTGTTTGATTACTTGGGTACCGAAAACCACAAACACACATTACATTACTTTTTATTTTACTTTTCCAATCCAGCGGCCACCTGAGTTCTAGCCCTTCGGCCTTTACCACATACACACAAAATGGTCACTCAGTGCTGGGAAAAAGAACGACAAATAGACAGAAACCGTAGAACTTTCCTTTGATGCCTTCCAACCATACACATTCTAGGGATAGTGAAACACGCAAAGTAACAGACACTCACACTTCAAACAGTCAAATAGTTGTGACTATTCTCCCAGGGAGTTGAGGTACACAGCGTAAAATGTAAACACGCTATGATAACCCCCCCCCCATAAATAGCAAGGAATGTTCTCCCAGCCTCATTGGACACACAAGACACGGGAAAACAGACAATGACATTTCAACAACAAGCTAGGATACACAGAATCAGAATTTTCTCCAGGGTTATGGGAACAAAATTTGCTACAATTAAACTGGAAATAATAAATAATACAAAGCATCTGTATAGCGCATATCCCAGCTCACCAGCAACCTCTATGCACTTTACAATTAGAAGATGCTCATTAATTTTTTTTTTAATCTTTAAAATGAAATTGGGAAAATAAGACAGATAGACAGAAATGGAAAGACAGAGAGAGAGAGACAAAAAGAGAAGGAGAGATTGACAGGCATGACAAAATGAAAAAAAAAAGATTGAGCGACAGAAATTGATTGTGAGGGAGAGAAATTGAGAGAGGGAGGGAGGGAGAGAGAGAGAGAGAGAGAGAGAGAGAGAGAGAGAGAGAGAGAGAGAGAG